CGAAAGAACTCCGACCAACCCCATTACCACACTTGCCTCATAATCAGCCAAGAGGTGATTTCCTTTTTCCAGTTTATTCCCAGGCATCATCCCCCGACGCCCAGCCACTCAGCTCACCTCAGTAACACTCTGACCTTTAGTGATGACCATATTCCTCAAATATACCACACTTTCTCATATATCTCTGGTTTTCGTTGCTACTGTTTTCTTGCCCCAACTCAGCAAACTCCTATTCACCCTTCAAAGCCAAATTCAAATATGGCAGCTTTTCTACAATCCTCCTCCCTACCTCATATAGAATAATTTTCTCATCAGTATTCCCTATTAAACTCCAGACCTCTGTTGCCACAATGAAACGGTGAGAACCTGGACTCACTGACACATCTGTTTTAAGCTTCCTGAAAAAAGGAAAGCATTTTCTTTTCTTGAATTTCACATTTAACTTACGGTTTAAGAACAGGTATTTTAAACTTACTGAAAAATAAACATTTCATATATTGCTAAATAATGCCGTAACTGTAATGAGTGAGTGACTGGGATTTTATAAACAAAAAGAATACCACATCATTCACCAGCTCCCCCCCAAAGTTTTTACAAAGTATAATTAAACTGCAGTTTGTACATGCCTTCATCTCTATCTTGCAATACCAGTCCCCCCACCCTTTGAAGAGGTTCCTCATCGAGTGTCTTTTAAATACCTGTCCGATTTCCTATGTATATCACTCACGAAATTTGAAACTCACTACAGTGCAAAGGTGAAGGTCAGGGTCATCGTTGGAGGCTATCAGGACTGAAACCTGTCTCAGCTACTGAAGCTGTCTGACCATGGGCAAAGTTACTCAACCACTCTATGCCCCTTCGCCAGACCATAAAAGCATCCAGGCCTCCTGGTGTTAGAGTGAGGATAAAATAAGGTGACACATGTAAAGAATTCAGAACACTGCCTGGCACAAACTAGGTCTAACAAATGCTAGCTGATAGTCTACTGTTATAATTAGTTTTTTTGTTTGTTTTTGCCATGCTGGAGTATCAAACTCAGGGCACCCTATGCATAGTAAACAAAAGTGCTCACAACTGTATTAAAACCCTATCCCTATGGGGAAATAAGACACTTCCACGACAAAGAACACCTGAGAAACTACATGAATACCAAACCAGCACTACAAGGAATTCTAAACAAGATCCTAGAAAAAGACAATGAAGGCAGCAACACCATGAGGCCCAACAGAGCAAATCAAATAGGCAAGGCAAGAAATTAAAAGGAGAAGGTGAAAAAGTAAAAAAGAGTCAACAAAAGGCCAATGACATGTCAATAATAAGTCAGTACTTATCAGTTATAACCAGTAATGTCAATGGCCTCAACTCACCAATCAAGAGAAATAGATTGGCAAAATGGAATAAGAAGCAAAATCCAATAATATGTTGTATACAAGAAACACACCTAGTGCAAAAAGAAGCCCATAGACTGAAAGTGAAAAGATAGAAAACAATTCTCCATGTGACAGGAGTCCCCCAAAAAAACAGGAGTAGCAATCTTATTTGCAAAGTAAATTTCAAACCAAAACTGAATCTAGTATTATTGATGTAGGACAGTACTGTATCATACCTCTATGAATGTAAAATATCTAGTACCTGCTTTATGATACATAGTAGGGACTGTGCGTTATCAGAGCTACATTTAATGATATTACTGTAGAATGTTCTCTTTCCAGATGATGATTAAGAGGCTAATAGAAAAAATGGTGCCAGGTACCACAGCAGCAACAGAACTTTGCTGTTTTCTGGATATTATTCTTTTCTTTTTTTTTTTTTTTAATGGAATGTGCTGAATGTCTATAATTTTGTTCAGATGACTACAGAACCTGGAAAAGCTGTTGCTGCTATCGATGCATAACATACTATTATTAGTCTTTATATACACACACACACATATATATATATAAATTGAATTTTGGGAAACTGCAACGGTGCTGCCAACTTTGGAAAACGTCATCCCAATTTACTGTGTTGACTTGGCATTGTACAGAAATGGACAACCATATTGGTCTAGAAATGTTAATTTATTTTTTATTTTTTTATTTTTTTTCCCTGTGTACAGGGGTAACACATCATACTAAATATGTAAGGTCATATCTACATGGCTTTGATTACAGAAACTAATAAAGTATTCTCTAAATAATGAAAAAAGAATAAGATAAAACTATAAGAGCGAGAAGCAATTTAAATATGTTCAGGGACCATTTTCATCTCCAGAATTAAGGATTATTTTGATGTTACATCATTGCCTTTTCTCTTTTACTTTCCTTTTTAGTTTTATTTTAGGATTCCCTATTTTTAATGTTCATACAGAGATTTCTTTAACTGAAATACTGAATAGTTTCTTTGGTGTGAAAAACTATAATAGTACACAGGATCCTAATGAGATAATTAATAATGTGAAATAGGAAGTAAAGGGCTAAAGGTGTAGGGAAAGTGGGAAGGGTAGGGGAGAGGTAATAAGGGAGAGGAAAAAAATATGAGAAACTGAAAAAATGGAAATAAAGTGTTTGTAAATGGGGAGGGGGGAGGGGGTGAAGGGAGGGCAGGGACAAGGGGAAAAATGAGAATCAAGACCTATTATGTAAAGGTACAGAATCCCAATGATGAATGTAATTGTATTGTATACCTAGATTGTACCAATAACCTCAATAAAAAGAAAAAAAAAACCCTATCCCTAAAGTCGGTTTTTAAAACAGCTTTTTTTTAGGTTCTGGGGACTGAATCTAGGACCTTCGCACTGAGCTACATTCCTAGCCCTCTCCTTTTTTTTTTTCTTTTAATTTTGACAGGGTCTCGCTAAATGCTAGGGGTGGGGCTTGAATTTTCAATCCTCCTACCTCAGTCTCCCAGAAATAGCTGTGTGTCACTGTGCCCAGTTTAAAACAGCTTTTTCAATACAGCTCAATAGGTAGAGTACAATCACCCACGGGGAAGGAATTACAACCCACTTGTATCTGAATATAATATAAGTGCTACAACTGTGCTTTGGGGTATAATAGGTGCTTAATAAATAATGTGAATGTAAGGTTTTAGACTTGTAAGCTCAACAAATTATAAATTCAGAAGTTAAAAAGCACCTGTCTAAAATTGGTGCTTTAAAGTAGTTTGAAAACACATAGCTAATGAAATATTGAAATGTATCTAAATAAAACTTTAAAAACAATGCAAAAATTACTCACAAAAAAACGTATTCACTAGTAAACATACCTTTTATTCCTCAACTTAATTTCATCTTGTGTACAATGATCTAATATTCTTGCTTGTAAGACTTACTATAAATCACTTAAAATATTTCCACCAGGGAGGCATGTGACATGTGTCCATCACCCCAGCACTCAGAAGGCTGAAGCAGGAGGCTCACAATGAGTTGGCATTGCTCAGGCTAGTCTGAATGACATAATGAGACTCTGTCTCAAAAAGACCCTAAAACAATTATTCCCACCTTTAGAAAATAGCCTAATGTCAGAAAAATTAATACTCTCCCTTTATGATTTAGAAAATCTACTGCCATATTCAGTACAAAAAACCTAATGAAAGACCATGAAACACATTTATTAGCATATCATGGTTTCTCCCTGGGAAATTATTAAAGTACATTTTTGTAACTCCCCTCTCAACCTCTGAACACACATACCCACAGTAAAGAACATAAATGTCAGTGGAGGCAAATGCCTGTAATCCCAGCTCTCAGGAGGCTGAGGCAGGAGTTTGCTTTGAGTTCAGGCCAGTCTGGGCTACACAGTAAGTTCAAGGCCAGCCTGAACCGCATAGTGAGACCCCGTCTCAAAAAACAAAACATCACAACATAAATGTCTATAATAAAGGCTATATATTAACTTAATTTAAAAGGATTTAAGGGCTCGGGATTTAGTTCAGCGGTTTCACCACCTGCCTTGCAAGTGCAAGGTCCTGAGTTTGATTCCTAGTACAGGGGGGTGGGGGTAGGGGCATTTAAACCTTCCTTAAATAGCCTTTCAATTTACAAATGAAAGTTTTTATTTGATGCAATAGTCCCACTTCACCTTGCCAAATATCTTAAAGTACAATTATCAAGCTAAGGTAAAAGATACTGATGGCTACCAAACTTCATGGTAATGATTTTATGCAATGTCTAGAAAATTCAACACATCAGTTAAAAATAGAATGCACTTCAAACAATAATGAATTTATGGGAAAATAGCTTACACAACTTATCTACATAGTAAACAGAAATTTAGCACTTTATCTGAGGCAGTGGGTGATAAACTAGCTTTAGAGTAAAGCTCGTGTCAGATGAGGAGTCAAACAATAACGCCTGACATTTGCAGAATATTCTCTCATCTCATCCTCGGCCCTCAGAATACCCACAAGCATGAATTTCCCAGCTTTAGAGCTCAGCAAACCGAGGCCCAGAAGTTAATTTGGCGGAGTCATCGATCTCGAAAGTGGGCCCGGGCTTTAGTCTCTAGCCTTTTGACTCATAATCTAATCATCTGCTAAACCAATTACTCAAATGCTCTGAGGTGTTCAATGCCAGATTCTTAAGTTAAAATTCTACTTGACGACTTTCGTTACACCGCTTGTCGGATTCTATCAAGAATCAAAACATACCTCCAAAAAGCATAAAAACTCTTTGAAAGTCCGCGTTTCAGCCCATCCGAGCTCAAATTTGGCCGGCGGCCGCGGGGCACTGCTCAGAACCGCCCAGCTCGAAGTGGGCGGCGA